CCTCCCGCGCTAGCCTAAGGGCCACCTTAGCAAAGCGCATCCCAGGCTGCATAGCCGCACTACCCTACCCAACCATACCACACATAAACATGACACTACCCCCGGGGTTTACACAGACGAGCCGGCGAAGCAAGAAGAGCGCCAGAAGAAAGGGCCCTAGCCGGCGGGGCCCAGCCAGGACAAAAGGAGGTCCCACAAAGCGCCTACACCGGCCGCATTTGCGGTCGGGGTAGACGACGGATGGGGCCCACCTACGAAGGCTGTCCAGGCCTACACTAGATGAGGCAGGATAAAGAGGGATAATCCCCCTCGATCCCAAATCATTGAGGCCAATTTCTAGCCATGGAATAATGGCGCGTAGGATTACCTTATCAGACTATATTAATATATTATAACTTCAGTAGCAAAAATAATAAATATAAACCAGTTTTTCTAATTTAAATACGAATAATTTATCTGTAAAATAACTACTACTAGTTGATCATACATAAAGCAGTTTCAGTATACATTCAAAAGCAACTACATTTTTTTTGCGGCGCTTTGGTCTAAATTCTTTAACGTCCATATCATAGACTATGGATTTCTACCACCTCTATCATGGAGACTACACTCTATATTCATTTTCTATTCATTGTCAAATTCTCAGCTACCCGACGAAGATGAGGAATTCGAGACAGTGGCTGAAGCGCGCGGCCCAACGCGTCGACCATGGAGACTATCTAGCCTCCATGGCGTCGACGTCGAAAGAGAGCCACAGCCAGACAATGACATAATCCCCCCCGCAACACCTGACGAGCTAATAGCGATTTCCATTGGGGAAAACTGGGGCTGCACTCGGGCGGCACTGAGCTCCACTGGAAATATGCTCTGGTGCAATCTCAATGGAATGACAATTTTTGCGTGGGTTTCTGACATTATAGGTTATGTGTTATGATTTTTTGTATTTAATTTTTAATTAAAAATAACTACTATGTTATAAGTCGTTACGATATCAGTTGGAACCGCATAAAAACATTTAATTCATAAACTCTACGGAATCCATAGGCGTCCAGAAAAATGTTGCCCTGTCTCGTCTATACGTCGCGGTCGAAATTATAGAGAGTGACTCATTTCTAGCTTTTGGACTAGTAAGGGGGATGAAGCATGCCGGGAACGAAAATCCATTGGCGTGTCTGCGTAAAAGGCAACAAGATATAGAAAATAATGAAAAAAGATAATAAAACATAACATCTAATATTTTTTACGGTTTGCTATAACAGGCACTTTGATCCATTTTAATTATTACAGCATTTTAAAACGTCCCAATTGTGTTTTTTAATGTATAAATTTATTATAGCCATGGAATTAGACCCCTCGTCTACGCTTATGCTATGACGTTTCTCAGGACGGATTAAATCAAGTCTGTTTACACCCACTTAAAAAGCATTTCCCTATTCCCTACCAAATGCAAAAGACAGAGATAGAATATAGATCGACGTTCAGTGTAACTCGGTCTCTAGACGATTATAGATTCTATCGATGTGCGTAGCGAGCGGCACAAAGATAAATAATATTGAACCGTATAAAAATCATTTTATATTTTATACGCATTATGGTATTAGTGTTTTTATATTATGTCTTAGTCACTCTCTATAATTTCGACCGCGGTGTATAGTTACATTGTGTATTCCTGAGGACGAAACGGATCACTTATTTAAGTTTGTAGATGACATTTTCATTGAATCCTTCCACTTTTGGCAGTTGTTTGCGTATAACTGGTATAACATACATTTCATCATCATCACTACTACTACTACTTGATAAAAACGATATAATAATGGAGCAACAACTTTGTCCATATTTACTGCCATTTTTTCTTGCACTGACACCGGCACCAGCTCCAAGACCCCGTGCGAAATAATATGCACTCAGAGCAAGAATTGTTGCCC